GAATTCTTTTTCTTTGCTTATTTGGTACATTTGTCCTTTCTTCCAGCAGCTTCAAGAAGGTATTTAGAGCACTTAATCTAATTTAGGCACTTAAGTATTCCAGAATAGTAAAGGTGTAAAACTATGCATAGGAATGGTTTCTCCAGCAAAACTGAAAGGGATAGAACGCAATTAAATTGATCTTGAGACTTGGCTGACAGTGAAGTGTTCTGACTGATGAATGCAATGAAGTCATTCTCACTGCCATCTAAGAAGACCAAATAACTTTACCCGCAGTCTAAATCATATTTGACTCAAACTTCCAAAAAGTGAAAATCTAACAAAACCTGCACTATCCCCTCGGGTCCTCTAAATAGAAAAAGGTGCCCTACAATTCAGTTTTCCAATTTACACAGTTTGCAAACAGCGCTGTGAGGATTTTGGAAGAAAAGATGAACATGCACAAACCTGCACTAAATTCTGCCACCCGTGCTTGTGGGTCTGCTTCTGTTCCTGTGCAAAATCTCACTGACATGGTACATGGATCCCTCTGTAGGACCACTACACTGTTCTGCAGTTACAAAAGTCTTTGAAATGGAACAGTGACTACCTGATCAGTATTTCATAGCATCCTCTTCCCTTCAACATGTATCCAATGGTGAATAAAACACAGGTTTTGCATGCCTGCATTTTCTTACTAAATTAATACAAAGTTTTTCAGTTATTGTGAGTCTAGGTTTGATTCATGATCTTTTTTCAATTATATTAATATTACCAAAGTATTACTTCAATTTTTTTTCCAAATGCAATTTTAAAAGTACTGCTTAATTTCTGTATTTCCACCATCCTTCCCACCCACATTGTAGTCATGCCACACTTTCAAATATTTTTCCATAGCCGTCTCCTATGTACTATCACTTTATATCACTTATAGGAAGTGGTATACAATTTCTAAACACAGGAACTTTTCTCTGTAGAACAAAAAAATTCAACTTCATACTGTCAGTTTTTAATTGAGCAGAAGACTTGGGCATAATGCAATACACAATCGTAGAATCAGTCATAGAATGGTTTGGGTTGGAAGGGACCTTAAAAATCATCTGGTTTCAACCCCTCACCAATGGCTCCAGTCTAACTATAAGCATTTAGGTTACTGAATTCAATTAGAGAAGTACATTTAAATCAAGTAGAAAAGCACATTTAAATTAGGCTGCTCTGTATAGCTGGATACTTTGAAGTATATGAAAACAGGTGTCATCTCCTTCTCTAACACATATCACACCTTTAAAGTAAAGTCTTTCATGGAGTTTCAGCCATTGTCAAGCATGAGATTAGGTATCTTCTCAAAATAATACAAAATTGAGTGTCTTTTTGGAAACTAAGTAAAAAAGGCTCATGGCTTTCACTTACATGGCTCTCCTCTGAGGTTTATAAACAAAGAGAAAATAAATAACTGATTTAAAAGTTCTCAAAATAGTAGGCTAAATAATCCTCATCGAAAATTTTTAAAACAAAACAGTTTTGCAACAGAAGAAAAAGAAGAGACTGAACTAGGTCTTATCTCTCATGGATGTTAGCTGAAAGCATATTGCCTAGATGTAGTTCCAATTGCCTAAAACAGCTTACTTGCTCTTTTAGTTCTGTCAGCTGCTTTTCAAAAGTAACAAGGTAGTCCCCAATTATATAATAATTTCATGTTTAAATACTTTACAATATGTTTTAGATGTTGAGAATCATAATGACATAATCATTTGAGAATCAAAATGACAATCATATATATTTTTGGGCTCATATTTCTATTTATGTAATTAACCTAAAGCAACAGAAATTCAGCTCATGAGGAAAAATATCATTAGACTGGTAGAGAAAATTGGAGAATCTCCTCTCCACAAGAAAAGATCTCATGGAATAAAGATACCATAAATAAAGCACACCTATCTCCAACAGCAGTATCCCTTTCTGAATTCCTACCACTGGATTTTGGGAAACAGGAAGAACAAAAAACTGACACAACTAAGGAAGAAGAGACAGCAAAGTTCAGATTGCCTAGCAGAAAGCTTTCCAGGGATTTACCCCAAAATATCAGGCATAAAAAACATACTGACATTCTAAATGCGAGTCAGCAGTGCCCAGCATGGCCAGGAGAGCCAGCCCTGTCCTTCAGCAGGCCCAGCATGGCCAGGCAGGCAAGAGAGGGATTGTCCTGCTCTGCTCAGGCCTGGGGCAGCCTCACCTCCAGGGCTGGGGGCAGTTTGGGTGCCAAAATGTCAGAAAGATGTGAAATGTTGGACAGCATCCAGAGGAGGGCAGTGAGGATGTGGGAGGGCCTTGAGGGGAAGCCGTGTGAGGAGCCCCTGAGGGCACTTGGTCTGTTCAGCTGGAGAAGGGGAAGCTGAGGGGAGACTTCAGTGCACGCCACAGTTCCCTTGTGAGGGAAGAGGGGCAGGCACTGATGTCTTCTCTGTGGTGACCAGTGACAGGACACAAGGGAATGGCCTGAAGCTGTGTCAGGAGTGGTCTAAGCTGGGTATTAGGGAAAGGTTCTTCATCCACACGGTGTTTGGGCACTGGAACAGGCTCCCCAGGGAAGTGGTCACAGCACCAAAGCTGACAGAGCTCCAGAGTGTTTGGACAAGACTCTCAAGCACACAGTGTGACTCCTGGGGTGTCCTCCACAAGGCCAAGAGTTGAACTCAGTTAATCCTGTTAGGTACCTTCCAACTCAGAAGAGTCTATTATTTTATGATTTTAATTCCTCCACATTTGAGAGACTTGAGAATCTTGCATAACTGCTCCAGTAACTTTCCAGCTGACACTGGAAATTTCATATTATTATTTTACACAATAAGGGCAGAAAGTGAAACACCGGTCATGATTAATTTTTAAAATTCATTCCTAATTAAAGGTATTTATTAAAGGTTGCCATTTTTATTTACAGAATAATTTCCTGTTGAATTAGGAGGCTGTCAATTACACTGTCTACAAAGCCCCAAATCTCATACTATTTCTAGGCAGAGAGGAAAAAATAACAGGGAAGTACCTTTTATATATTATTTATAAACCTTTGAAATGACCTTGAAGACCTTTTGCACAAAATACACCCAACGCCAGAAGCTGTAAATTCTCAGTCAAAGATGAGGAACACACTACCTGAAACAAGCCCTTTATTACCTGACCCTATCAAACCTGCAGGTAGTCCCCAAAGGGGCCAAACTGCTCTGCAGTGCAGGAAGACACTAAGCCATACAAAAATAATTGAAAGGACAATGAGGGAAATTAAATGGGCACAGAAGACAGTGCTGAGACCACTGGAAGGTGAAGAGGGTATTATCCATCCTAGACTGCCATTTTAGGCCTACAGACATGGAATTTATTGCATATTGGCTAAGAACCATTAGCTAAATACTGTGCTTTTCTGAAGAGAGTGAAAGGGAATAAAAACAAAGCCCCAGTGTACCATCATATATGACATGCCAGAGCACATAACTTCTTCCAGTTTGTTATTGCTATTTAAAAAAGAATAATATTCTAGTCAGGCAATAGTTTATTAATTCATTAACTAAATGGTGCCTGTTCTGACATAATTTCATACCTAGTACAAGACAGTGTCTACAGTACAGATCTTAAAAAACTTCCTCTTGGTTTTACCTCCTTTAAGGTAATGATATCAAGGTGACTAATGACTTAAAAACTAGAAAACAGTGTTAACCTGAATTTTCAACACATCGCAGAAAAAAAAATAAACAGCAGAAAGTAGAGTAGCAGCAAGCCTCAGTAACATGTGCATAAGAGAAATATTTTTATTTCCCTTGCAAACATTAGTAGGCAAAGAAGTCAACACCATCTGCCCAGTTCTAATTTTAATGTAAAGTTATTCTAAATTGAACAGAGAAAAAACACCAATGGAAAAAATTATTTAGATATTCTAAAATTAAAACTAAGGACTGTCTCACCAGGAGTGAGATTTCTAAATCTACTTTTGTTTCCACATAAAATAGGAGATAGCCTTAAACAGAAAACTGAGTCACAGATTCACACAGCTCTTGGCCTAGCTTTATCCTTTTAGATAGCTGGGCTGAAGTACTCTACACATTTCATAACATTTTTCTTCCTCTTTACATTAAGTAGCTTAGTTGTGTAAATGTAGAAGCATCAATTCCAGACACTACAGTTTTGAATCCAAAAGTTCAGCATAAGTGCTGAACCCTAACTGGAGTCATGTTTAATCACACAGAATCCCTGGGATCTAAAGGGGCCTCTTGGGATCATCTTGTTCAAACCCTGTGCTCAAGCACAGTCAGCTACAGTAAGGTGCAAGAGAACCATATTCAGTCAAGTTTTGAGCATCCTGATGGATATTTAGACTTCTCATGTCACTCCAGTCCTGAACTGAACAACTCAACAGTAAGCTTTAGCAACCTATTACCATCTGGTTATATATCAGAGATAACCACTAAAAAAATCATCCAACACACCCAAATGCACAAATTGTGAACTAATTTACCTTTACTACTCACTGAGCAGTGCTCTTTTACTGGCCTTATAAGCTAAAAGTAAAAGTGCTGAGCTAATCAATTATTTTTATGCTCATCCAGACATACTATGTTTCCCCAAATCTTGGAATAGTCTTCTTGGAACACTTGTATTTATTTATTTTTTTAAATTTTTAAACTATTTACATTTTTAGATTTTTGGGCAACTTATTAATGAGTCAAATAACTGGGGGTCTATTTTTAAATAGTAAGGCCTGAATGCTTCACACTTGACTCTGCAATATAGTCACTGACCCACTGCCCAACACAGGCCATTTCCTTCCTGTGCATCATCTATTATTTATTCCAAAGATGGTACACAATGCTTCCCCATCTTTGTAAAACATTTAGGGAGCTACAAGGGAAGTGTACTACGTGTGTGGAGTATTACCAAAACCGATGGAACTGGTGAAATAACATTCTCTTCCTGCAGCAGGAATGCCTTGGAACTAATGAATGATATACTCTGAATTCAAACATCTTGCCTACCTTGTCTGGTATACTCATCTGCTTCTCTGTGGACCAAATCTTTTACCCGGTTTCCATACAGCAACCTAGAGGAATCATGATCAAAAGCTTTCAAGGTTTCACTGGAGCTGTAAGACTTCTGAGTAGGCACTCTGCACTCCTCATTTTCTGCAGAAGAGTTCGTATAGCGCCGCTCCTTGTCCCGTCTGCTCTTTGTCAGGGAGCAATAAGGCCTACGTTCCTTCACATCCATACTTCATTCCTTCTCTGCGCACATCAGTCCAGCTTATTGGCAAGTCTTCTCTACATTCAGCTTACATTCACCTATAATAAAATTAGAAAGACAACCACTGATGTGTTACAATGATCTCTAATGGCTGTAATTGATCCCTAACTGTCTGGAACAGAAAGAAGGAAAGAAAAAAAGATCTGCTCAGCAGTGGGTCAGAAGCACTTCTGTAAGACTTGCCAGAGCTCCATGCACGAGCTACCCCGATCTAAAACATTAGCAAAAAAATTCCTAATCCCAAAAAAAATCAACACATTATTACTCATTTTTATACAACAGATTAAAGGATCAAAAGCAGAGAGTAATTGGAGCAGACAACCAACTGGAAAAACAGTAGTTTTTCAGCTTTAGGAATGTGTTAGCTGTCTATCTGCAGGTAAGCTTTTTTTTTCTTTGTCTGAGAAGCCTGCATGCTTAAATGGCAAATCTGGTTTTCTTCTGGTTGTTGGAAACTTGTGGTATTAATGTTTGGGGTTTTATACTTTTTTGCAGACTTTTAGACTTCTATAATTTCTACTGCAATTGCTATTCCCAGAAAATTATTCTCAGAGAACATGTACACATAATTTCACAGCAAGCTACACAAATAACACAGCTTATATACAGGAAGGTTTATCCAAGCCAGTATGTTCTATCCAAGCTATGCTAGAAGGCAAGAAAATATTTGATTTGCAAATGAAAGTCAGAAATAGTTTTTTTCCCCCTCAAGTTTTTAAATAATATTACAGTAATAATCATATTTCTATTACTATTTATTTTGCTTTAATATTTAATTCATGTGTTTTCAAAACAAAACTTCTCAGTTATCAAAACAAGACATCTCAGTTTAATTTCTTGGGTCCTGCAACCTCAACCAAAATATCTACATTTCTGACAGAAAGAAAGACTGGATATTCTGCTTTTGTTTTATCAAGAGAAGTGCTAAAATAAAGTTAAGAATATAATTTTTATCTTTAAGCAGCTGAGAAAGCCTATGCATATCACACAGCAACGCATATCACAAATCAGCAGCAAACTCCATTTGCACTCTTTTCAGCAAAAATAAGGTTGCTTTACAACTCATCATTTATTTAAACACTTAATATCAAACTAATTAGTTGTCACTCCTTAAAATATTTTCAGAGAGTATCAAATTTACTACAGAGCCACAATTCAAGTTTGTGAACAAGAGCCAGTCCTTTATCATTTTGTTTTGCAATTTTCCAAAAAGGTTTTTGCATTTCTTTGCTTCTCTGAAGCTCAGTTTAGACTCAAGAATAAAGTTCCAAAGACTTCCATTTAAGGAAACAATCTACTTTTATATTTTCAAATTTTAAGTGGCTAACTGATATTTTCACAGGATTAAAAAAAAAAGTTTCACAACACAACAGTTTACTAAATTGATGACTGTTTAGTTGCTTGCATGCCCACATAGCACATCTTTCTAGCTTATACGAAACACTCAGATTTTAAAACATTTGATTTACTAATAAACGAAAGTACTTTCCAGGAAAATCAGTTTACTAGAAATATTATAAACTCTGTGTTTTATTAATCTGAAACTGAGCTGTGATGTTTAAAAATCATTATTAACAAATACACACGGGAATTCCTTTGCAGTGCAAAGCCTATCTCCCCTTTCATCTAAGCATGTCAAGACTTTAAAGGGCCACTAATTCCTAGTGTCTCTAAACTGTACCATGGGAAAGCTGACACACTATTCATCATCATGACTGTTCACATCAAAGAAGAAATAATTTTTATTTTTATCCAAGTTTCCAAAATCCTTTATAATGTTAAAAAGAAAAACCAACAAAAAACCCCAAAACAATAACAAAAAAGCACAACAAAAGCCAAACCAACAACCCAAACTCTTATTTCCACAGTACATTATTACTATAGCAAGTTAAAATTCTCCAAGATTTAATCTGTGGTGTAGCATGAAGAAGTACTGATCTGCTTCCCACAGAAGTCAATGAATTCAATAAAATTTCAAAAAGCAGATCTCTGGGTTATCTATTGCTTTTGCAGGCAAAGAATAAAAAGGTTAAAAAAAATACAAGCTGTTTAACAGCACCACTTTATGGAGACACTTCACCAGTGATTATCCTGCCAGAATTATGAAGACTACTGGATTATTTGTGAACATTTTTTAAAAAAAGAAAAAAAACCAAAAACCACAAACAAAACAAGCAACAAAACAAACAATAAAACAAACCTTTCAGGTTTTAAGAACATGGTCTTTTTTAATCTAGCATTATACAAATCACCTGTTTACTTTCAGTAGCCTTTAACTTTAAAAATTAATAGTATCTCTCAGCAAGTCTTAGGAAACAACATCCTCAGGCTTGTGTCTGAATTTATTTCATGAGTGAATTAATACACATATCTAATAGAAGACAGAATAAAAGCTATCTTAAAGAACTGTCTACAAATAAGTGTTCTTTACTGTGATCAGACAACAAGCAGAAAGGGAGAGCACAAACATATTTGCAGAACACAGCAACAAATATCAGAATTAATGTTTAAGTAGGGTAAGTCAGCAGTGACAAGCCAAACAAAAGGAGACCTGCAGAGAGCTTTACAATATCTTTACTTGAATCATTGATACATTGTGAATCACCCCTTCCTCTTCCCTACAAAATACTTCTCAATGAGAAGAAATGAGAGAAATATTTTCAATTATTGAGAAAATTATTTTAATAAAAAACCAAACTGTCATTTACTGCATCTACTCAGTCCCTTTCTCTGAAAGATCACTACTAAAATACTAACAATATTTCCCATTCACATCTTCACAGATTCAAATGAACCACTGCTGCACAGATTTGATCATATTTCCTTTTTGTCTTTTCTTCTGTTTCCTACAACATTAAAGCTGCATCTCGGGGTCTTGGCGGGGATAGACAAATGCACAGCAACTAATTTACAAAATCAGATTAAAATCTTAAACCAAGGAGAATACATTTATTTTGAGATGTATTATGAAACACTTGCTTTCATCTGCAAAGAATTTTTGCCCATATGTCAATATTTATGGTCTATCAGGTTGCTTCACCCCAACTAAATGAAGTCATTTACACAGAGCAATATTTACAAAGCTATTGAACTACTAACACACTCACAAAAGGATGTCAGTTCAGCTCTGCTATACACTGCTGCATGTGTTATATTGCAATGCTAACCTGAAACAGTCTGCATGGACTGCAGAAAATAAAAATAAAATTTCACTGGTGCATGCCACTACTTCAAGTTTCTGTGCAATACTTTTGAAAGTATAAAAACTGAGGATGCTCATCTGTGTCACTGAGCATTGGGATCTCCCATGACCTCTGCAGTGATCTCTGCAGTGCTGGGGGCTCCTGGCTGAATTCCACAGGAGGGTGTTCACTGATCACCAGGCCGACGTGTCAGCTCTCATACAGTCACGCTCAGCCCACTTCTCCATCGGCTCAGCTGACTGCGCACTCAGAATCTACTTTCTCAGTCTCACTCCAAATTTTAAAAACAGCTTGAAATCATAAAGAGGAGATGCCCATTTTAAAAATAATACCTACATATTTATTTCAACTTATTTTAGAAGGAGAGAAGAAGCAGAGAAGCAGTTCTTGTTGTTATCAGGTCATTGGGATCAAAGACCTCATTCCCTTATGAGTCAGGCTACTTTGTAGACCTCTGCCCTCATTAACACTTTTAGCACAATATTTAATTACCAAGTCTAATAAGTTATGAGCAATTAATAATTAAAACAAATAAACAATCCAAATCCCTTCTTTTACTCTAAGTGCTGTAGAGACACCAAGTGCAAACACCAAAACTGAGCACAAGGCATGTTCACACATAAGTGTCTAAGCTACCACAGCAGCTTCAGTGACTGATGTCTCACATAGACAAATTTGACTACTGGTGTAGTTTACACTGCATTTAAAATTTACCAGGACAGCCTTTCATCAGTTTCTCCTAGTCATCTACAGCAACATGAAATAAAATAGACGTAGTGAAAAACAAAAACAAAACAAAACAAAAAAAACAAACAAAAAACCAACAAAAACCAAATCACAGTTACTTAGCTTTTTTCAATAAAACCACTTGGTACTGAAGTTCTACACTGCAACACAGAAAAGCAATATTTAAATTGGTAAGATGCAAAAAAGGCATTAAGATCATGCTACAGAGTTATCCAAAACACGCAGGTACAACTTTAGCATGCCTGCAGGCATGTAAAATGTTTCAGAAAATGACTGCATTTCATTCAACACCTTGAACTCGGAGTTCCTCAAAGGGTTGTTGCAGTTTGGCAGCAGAATGGCAATCGTGCCCAAGTCAGACAGTGCTCCCTCCTCATCTCTCACGTGGAGAAACTTCTCCCAGCATTAAACATGATTCAATGAACTTCAATGTACCTAAGAATTCTAAATATACCTCAGTATTTCATGTCCTTTGATATCTAAGAATCTACAGAAGCATGGAAGTGTAAACAGGTAAGAAATAAAATATATTTGTTACTGATCTGACAAGATAATTGTACAGAAAAGATTATGTCACTGCTTAGGTTCATTTATGGATCTACTATAGTCCCTTTCAACATCTACATCCATTTTAGACATTTCTAAACATACAAAGCAAAACTGAAATTAATTCTAAGAATAATAAGAGTCAATAATATGTACAGAGCTGAAATAGAAAATATTCAAAGAAAGGAAAGATAAAACTTGTACATTTGTCTGTAACAGGAGAACAGTAAGAGAGTTTGAAATACAAGGAAGCACAAACTCTCCTCTTCAGTCTCAAAGAGAAGCAGCAGCAAGGAAAGCAGCACGATTTCCCTTCTTCCCTCCCCGAGGCCAGCAAAACTGAGATAGGGAAGGAACTTACATATTACATATCACAAACTTCCCTCCCAACATCTCAATCTAAAAACTTAGACATTCCAAAGAATCATAGTATTCCTAGCTGCAGAGACCTACATTATTAGTGAATTACTGTTATTTTTGTTATTAATTAACATTATTACAAGTCATTGATCCTTCCACAGTGACTCCTAGGTGAAAGCACA